TATACTTTARCAACTGTTTCGAGGATTGTAAAAAACGTTTGCTTAAGTGTATTACGTCCAAAAGCGATTATTCTGAAAGGGTTACATCCACTTCTGAGTTTAAAAAAATGTGTTTTTTTTTTTGTTAATTTTTTCTGGAGAGGGTTTTCATTGAATATTAGTATATATAAAATATTTGAACATTTACGGAATTTAACGTATTCTAAGAATTCATATTTCATTAATAAAAATATTGGGTTCCATCGTTCCTGTAGGAGATCTCCTGAAAGTCCTCCACCAAAAAGTGTTTGGCGGTGAGAAAGATATCTCTGATCGAAATTATCTGGAAAAATTTCAAAGTCAATCGGTCAAGCCGTTTCAGAGAAATATTCCTCACCGACTTTGAAAACATCGTTTCGAGAAAAACGCATTTAAAGTTTTGCTGCCACTCCGGGTTAGGGTTMCGCCTACTTTGAAACGCTCGGAGACGTCTTTACAAATACGCTCATTACTCCGAAAATATTTGCCGAATTACAGACAATATTCTCGAATATATGTATATACATTCTAAATATGCAAAACAAATTCGATTTTTTTCCAAATAACAAGTGGATATAACCCCTGAAGGGGACGACATAAATTAATAATTTTAAAATTATAAATGAAGCCTTACTATTTTTTGCTCTTAGTCCATTCTTCAGTCAAGGCATTCCAAAAATCATTTTTAAGGCTACGAGTCTTTCTAGTGTTTCTACCCACAATATAATACAAAATTTAAATAGGATTGTGATCCGGGAATCGGAGAGGTAAATTCAACTGTTTTGGGTTATACAATAGCCTTTWTTGGACAACTCTGGCTGTATGCTTCAGGTCTCGTCTTTTTGAAATTTTTGGACACTTTGCTTTAAGTTCTYGTCCAATCTTGAAGATAATCTCTACTATTCATCGTAGACCCAGMAAACACTAAATTTCCGGAGCCAGCAGCCGACATTAACCCCCAAATCACTATAAGGTCTCCCCTGTTTTTAAAAATCGAAACAAGATTTTGTGGAAACAGCTCGCTTTCCAGTTTTCCAGATCTTACCACGGTTTTCTGAAAAAAATATTTCAAATTTAAATTTATTACTAAACAGAACGCTGCTCCAGAATGACTGAGGGTCTGTTAAATCTGTTTTTGCGAAGTTTAACGACTTAACTTCTGATTAATATTGGGGGTCCTMCCATGCAAACCATTAGCATATAGTTATTTGCGTGTAGTAATGGTTTTAGACGTGAGCCACATATATTATATATGCAAATTTTTAAGCTCACGGAATACTCATCCTTACATCAATATAATATGGTAAAACTCATTGACTCTTATTTCTCTTCCATGACATTCCTATCCTTAATCAAAATATTCCGATGTTAGTAGCAAATTCAAAAGAGACAACGAATGATGAATTTTTGGAACAGATTTCTCATAAATAATTTTCCTTGTARCTCATTKTTGAGTTCGATCACTGGATTGTTAAATAAAAGTCCGAATTTTCTTACTCAAACCACTTACCGCTTATTACTCCTAATTCGAGTATACAACTTCTTTCTTAGAGCCCTTTACTAAGCAACACTYTAATTAGAACTGYGTCTTTTGCACAATCCAGCAGCCCTTATATAGTAGATCGTTAACAAAACATGACCACTCGAACATTTTGGCATCTATAAACTCCGCTGTCGAGTTAATACCGGCAATTTATAGTCGATTCGTAACACTGCCCTCCACCTAAGTCTGATCGTAGCTTCGAATTAAACATATTATCAGCCTCTCGATTAATAATCGGATACGCTTGTGGCAATTCGCTGAAATGTTCCTTGACTACCAGAACATATATGTTTCCTAAGTTATTGGTGGGAGATGGACATCCAACCCCAATTCTATTAGCTCAAATGGCGTACCGGAATTATGTTTCATCTGGTCAGGTCTTTTCGACCGAAACCGTTTAGCTACAACGCACATAGAATATATGGAGAGGATGGATAGCAGATTGACGACAATCAGCCCAATAATACCTTCTCTTCAATTTCTCTAAGGATGTCGTTATTCGCAAGTGCCATCCAATGGGACCGTTGTTTAGGTCGTTTGGAACTTCGGGACTTCTAACCTTTGCAGTGCTCGTGTACTTTTTACCCTTACTCGATGCAAGCAGCCATACACAAACTTTAAACTGCTCTGCTCTACCCAATATGCATTTGTGCCTCGACTTCCTGCAGCTATTTCTCCACTCAAGGTACATTTGTTCATCTCCACTCATGCATTCTGCTTCTTTACTGCCATAGACACCGCATAAGCGGTTATAGCCGAGTTAGTCATGTATTACACCTTGCAAAATTATAGCTTCTTCCAAAGGCTTTTCGACTTCAGCCTTAATTTTATTTTGCTCTGCTAACTAGGGGGACCTTTGAACTGATACACACGCTTACTCTTCCTCCGATTGTAAAGACCTTTGCATTCGTATATRCGTTTCCTGCTCTTCCAACTGTGAAGACACTTCGGCTGATGTAGTTACAAGCTTCTTACTCTTCTAACTGTGAGGGCACCTTTGTTGGTATAAAAGTTTCCTGCTCTTCCTGCATTGATATTTGACCCGCGTTCGCTTGCAACTGTGCTGGCATATACGTTTTAAACTGTGCACTTCCGCCCGCCAAATGCGTTCAACATACCCAAAATACTCTACATTCTGGACTATAACGGGATGATTCGTGATATCTCTGTGTTGAACACCTACATAGCATACATAAGGAAYATAATGCAGTCCTTTCAAAACAGTTTCTGGTGAAATGTATTTGCAGAAACCCACTGGTCAATTTTTCAGAAAAGCTATTCTTAACAAATGCGTATACCACATATCTTAAATTTTCGTCTATAATAAAACATAAATAAAATAGTTGATTTAGAAAATCCCGACTTTCATTTTTTAATACACAGATATTTGTATAATAATCGATAAACCTATTTGTTGATGATTTATCTAAATTTCGTGTAAACGTCAAATAAATAACAGAGAACGTAAAATAAACGTTCTCTTTGGTAAATGCCGGCATTTGACATTTCTTGTCCTCTTCATACATTTTACGTCCTCTTTTGGGTCCGTAATACAAAAAATTAGTGTAATACCACGTAAGCCCAATCAACTAACTTTGTTGTCTTGGTTAAATTGTTGAAATTAGGAAAATGTATCAGTTGGGCTTAAAAAGCCTGCAATTGCAGCTGCTTCTATTGGCAATAATAATAACGTTATCCGTAGCGCACGTCCCTCGACCAGTAGGTGTACCGCTATACAAGGCCTCATTGTACGCTCTTCGCTCGGACAAAAGTTGGGTATGTCTAGATAGCAAAAAAACAATTCGTCATACACAGATAAACGACGATTTCTGCGATTGCGAAGACGGTAGCGATGAACCAGGAACATCAGCTTGCCCAAATGCTGTTTTTAATTGTGAAAATGTTGGATTCCGCCAACAAGACATTCAAAGTTCACGTGTAAATGATGGAATATGTGACTGCTGTGACGGCAGCGACGAATGGAAAGATGGTGGTAATAAATGTGCAAACACTTGTTTAGAGTTAGGACGTGTAGAGGAAGAGATAAAACGATCACTAGCTGATTTACATAAGCGCGGTAGTGAAAAACGAGCAGAACTGATTAGCAAAGGTAAACAAATGCGCACCGAACGTGAAGCAAGACATAAAGTGTTGCAACAAAGACGTAATGAGCAGGAAGCAATTAAAGCAGAAAAAGAGCAATTGAAAAGAAATGCAGAAGCTGCTGAAGCAGAAGCATTGGAAATATATAAGGAGCAACAGCGTGAAAAAGATGCAGCTGCGGCCGAGGCCGCAAAATCACAAGAAGATTCACAGACCATGCGCTATGAGTCTGAAGCGGCATTTATTAAATATGACACGAACAAGGACGGTTTTGTGGAAGTAACTGAGTTAATGGTAGACATGACACTAGATCGTGACCGCAATGGCATTGTAACTGTTGAGGAAGCAAAGTATTTCCTCGATGAACGCGATCGCATTGATTTAGATTCATTTTATGATTTGTCGTGGCCACGCATTAAACCGCTTAAGATGTTGGCTGAAGGTATTTTTAAACCACCAACTGTCGAAGGTGTTGAACATCCAGAACAAGACGAAGGYGAAGAAGAGGGTCAGACGGGACCTACAGAATCAGATCAACTCCCAATCGAAGAAGGTAGTTTTTCATATTAATCATTGAATATGAATTATTTTTTATTATAATTGTATTTATAGGTCGTGAACATGAAGGTGCCTACGGAGAGGAAGACCTCTATGAGGATGAAGAAGGTGAAGCTGATGTTGGTGTAGGAAGTGTGGCAGACGCAACACATYCCGAGCCTGATTATGATCCGGAGACTAAACATTTAATAGATCTGGCGAACGAGGCTCGCAATACCTACTCCGAAGCGGAACAGAAAGTACGCGAAATCGAAAATGAGATTAAAGACATTGAAGATCAGACTTCAAAGGATTATGGGCTTAATGAGGAATATGCTGTGTTGGACGGCGAATGTTTTACATTTGAAGATCGAGAATACCTTTATACTTTTTGTCCTTTCGAACGAGCTTCACAAAAACAACGCAGCAGTGGGCATGAAACCAATTTGGGACGCTATGAGCAGTGGATAGGAGATGGTGATAAAAAGTACCAGAAACAAAAGTATGCCCATGGTACTGCTTGTTGGAATGGACCGCAACGCKTAACAATTGTAGACTTCAAATGTGGTCTTGAACATGCCATTAAATCTGTAGCAGAACCTAATCGCTGTGAATACAATTATGTGTTCGAAACACCAGCTGCTTGTGATGGTATTGTTGCAGACGACACTCGTCAACGAGATGAACTCTAAAATAAGGTGAAAAGAGATACAAGTGCTCACATTTATATTTTTAATGAACCTTCAATAGATATTTATCCACAGGTGTCTAGTGTCGTTTTAATTATAAAGGAAAAAAGTTAAGTGTAAACTCAATGTATTTAATAAATGTAATTTATACTGAATTCTAGGATCATCATCAGCATTCCTTTRATTGTAAATCATTACAGCAGGAAATTTATTTGTACACTTTTTATAATATATACGTAAGTTTAATTAGTAAATATTATTCACTTGTATTAACTGATATAATGATCAACATATATAAAATGTAATAATTTCCTGATTGAAATAAAGTAAATACTTCCGATCGCCTATTTACACAACTATGCCTTTGCCGTTTAAGTTAATTAAGTAAATACATCAAATCTGTTTGATTTTATTACGAAAAATCATTCAAGAAAAACGAAGTATATCAAGAGTAGATTGAAAACTGTATATCATAATGTATCGGATGTATGTAGATATATGCTTTTAGAAAAGTGAAAAAGTTCAAATATTATTACGCTTCATTTACGGCTAATTTAATGTCTTCCAAGTGTGCATCTAATTGGTGTTCTAGAGCTAAAATGTGGCCAGTATTGCAGTGCTCACCACCAACAAAAGTAAGAATCAGTGGCAATTTRTTCATTTGCACTACCTGTAAATAAAACAAAATTAATAATATTTATTGATACAATTACAAATGCTAAAAATGTTCTTTGACCAACCTGATAATTGGAATACATCGATATAATAACTTTGTTACGCCCCAAACCCAATTTTCCTGCTTGTTCACTGGCTGTTGCAAAAGTGGGTATGAAGGAAGGCATAAGCGCGAAGTCAACATTCTTATCCTGACTTACTCGTAACAGTGGCACTCCATCTCTGTCGGTAACTTGTATTATATAGAGACCATTGACCCTTTAGCGTTTAAGAAAATAGCAATTTATAAGAGAGATAGCACACAATATATTATATTTAGGAAATACGCACTTATGTAGTAGTCCATTGAAATATTTCTTTACTTCATCCGTCATATTTCACGAGATGCTCTGAATCCTGCGAATCCTGAGCACAATATTTSACTCCCAAAACTTAGTTTTCTAATCAAAACAAATCTCAATTCGCATTTATGCTTTGACCACTTACTAATAGGCACAATCAGCTGTTAAAATAAGCAAATAGAGTTCTCGGTTATCTACTGTAGAATATATACAACCATGGTTACCACACTTAATAAATTACTGAAATATAGCAAAAACAAGAAAACTTATTGCAACGGTAAAATTTTTCTCCGTGTTGAGTTGGGGTGASAAAATTTCTACGATGTAAAAAAATTTTTCGTTTCGCTGCTCAAATTGTAAAGTAAAATTTTGACATTTGAAACAGAAAATAAACGCAATAGCAACCTTTGAATATTTGTTTTGGTAATAATATCATTATATATATATAGCCGTAATATAAAAAAAAAATGTTAGACAATTTTTACTAGCCTTTACTCATTAAATTTTAAAAAACTTATTAATTTGCAAATTGTTTGTTCTGAATTAAACGATATAACCAGAATAAAAATTAATTTCTTTTGAAATGTGTCTCTCAAAATATCTATCGTGATCGATTTTCTCGATAATTTCAGAAGTATTTTTCTACACCATTGACAATAATTTTTCTTTTCTGTGCATCATTTAACAACAAAGCGGATAAAATTTTCTTATGGCAAATGATGTTTTAATGTTAGAGAATTAAGTAAAAACAAATAAAACATGGCTTTTCTACGAGGATCCCTTAATTATGTGTGGTGCACGACTAGTGTACTTGGCAAAGGAGCAACTGGGTCGGTTTTTCAGGTAAAAAAAATTTTGCATATTTAACTCGGGGAGTCACTACAGATATTGCGATAATGTTCTCAAACAGGGAGTCAATAAAAATACTGGCGAATCAGTGGCAGTGAAAACATTTAATCCCTATAGTCATTTGCGGCCACCGGATGTTCAAATGCGCGAGTTCGAAGCACTGAAAAAACTACATCATGAAAATATTGTCAAACTATTGGCAATCGAAGAAGATCAAGAAGGCCGTGGCAAGGTAATTGTTATGGAATTATGTACCGGTGGAAGTCTTTTCAATATACTCGATGACCCTGAAAATTCTTATGGACTACCAGAGAATGAATTTCTATTGGTGCTGGAACATTTATGTGCTGGAATGAAACACTTACGTGACAATAATTTAGTGCATCGCGATTTAAAACCAGGAAATATAATGAAATTTATTTCGGAAGATGGTCAAACCATATACAAGCTAACTGATTTCGGTGCCGCTCGGGAATTRGATGATAATCAAGCATTTGTTTCACTTTATGGAACAGAGGAGTATTTACATCCCGATATGTATGAACGTGCTGTGCTACGTAAACAAATAAATCGTTCATTTACTGCAAATGTGGACTTATGGTCCATTGGTGTCACCCTTTACCATGTAGCAACTGGAAACTTACCATTCCGTCCTTTTGGTGGCCGTAAAAACCGCGAAACAATGCATCAAATTACCACGAAAAAGGCGTCCGGGGTAATTTCGGGTACACAACTATCCGAAAATGGACCAATCGAATGGTCAACTACGCTTCCATCATATTGCAATTTGTCCGAAGGTCTCAAGACATTGGTGACACCGCTCTTAGCTGGTTTGTTAGAAAAAAATCGAGAAAAAACCTGGTCGTTTGATCGTTTCTTCCAAGAAGTAACATTAATTTTGCGTAAATTCGTTTTGCATGTTTTCTTCACAAATCGCACCACTTCCGTGGAGGTTTACCTCGAACCAGACGAACAAATTGATAATTTTCGTGAACGCGTATTTCTACAAACCGAAGTACCAATAGAAAAACAAATACTTTTATTCAATAACGAGCATTTGGAAAGAAAGGTGACGTCCTCCTCCATATGTAAGTGCCGACTCAGCTATTCAAATAAGCTTTCGGTTATTTCAATTATAATTTCTTCTTTATTTTAATAGCTAAAGCTTTTCCTAAAACCACAGCAGAAAATCCAATATTTCTATATAGTAATGATGACAATAATGTACAACTGCCCCAACAATTAGAATTGCCAAAGTTTCCTGTATTCCCAACTAACGTGTCGGTTGAAAATGATGCAAGTCTTGCTAAGGTGGGTTTTTGCTATTTGGTTCTGAGTGTATTTTAATGAGTATTTTATTTATTATTTTTTAGGCCGCTTGCAGCGTTGGGCATGAATGCAAGAGACGTATTGACACCTTTACATCCATGGATATTTTAATGAAGCGTTCTGTAGAACAATTCATAGCAATGTTAATAACAACTATAACTTTACTGTTAAAGTATGTATTTATCCTTTTATATTTTTGTAGCTAAACTTGCATTTAAAATTAATATATATATATATATATATTTTTWTTTWTTTTTTATAGAAAAACCAAACATTTGGAGAATCTGCTGACAACAACACTTGATTATGCTGATGCAGTTAAACGCATTGGGACTTTAGTAAGTATACATCTAAAATACGTATGCACTGTACTGCTGTAAGTTTCCCATAAAATTTTTGATAACCAGAAGGAACTGTCGGAAACCCCATAAAATATATACCATATATGTATATATGGATGGCATGATATGCATACATATGATSAGCATGATGAGCTTTTTCTGCCCAAGAAGCTGCTCAATTGTCGATATCGAACCGCTATATCATATATGTAGATACAAACTGAACGAATAAAAATATGTTCTTTTAAAGAAAACATTTTTATTTCACAAGATATCGCCACAAAAAAGTTTTATATTGCCAGATCTTACTTCTTTTTTTTTTTTTTTAGACAAAATCAGACAATGAACTCAAACCAATCGTTTCTACTCTGTATGATCTCAAGCCCAATTTTGATGATGCTGCCGATGTTATAATGCAAATGTATAAACATTTCGTCGCTGAAGACGCTCTGAAGTGCGTACTTACATATTAAAAAAAAAAAAAAGACTAAATTAAAAAGTTTACACTTTTAGTGATCAGTGGTCATCTGCCATGCACGGCAAGCGGTGTCCTTGTCGCACCAGGGCCAGTCCGCGAGCGAAGTACTTGGTGGAGCGACTGCGTGATTCCTGGCAACATTTRCTACGTGATCGCGCAACACGTACCTTAACCTACAATGACGAGCAATTTCATGCTTTGGAAAAGATAAAAGTGAGTATTCAGATAAGATAAGCCAACAATAATGTTATTCTTATTTTATATGTCATCCCCTTCTCTTTGATAGGTTTTTCGTAATGGCGATCGCATCAAAGCTTTGCTAATTGATGACGTTAAGCCCGCCGTAGCGCAAATGGCCGAATGCCTCGCCGATTGGTATAAACTAGCACAAACCGTCTATCTTAAAACSCAGATATTGGAAAAGGACGTACGCGACTATGAACGTAAATTGAACGATTTACGTGATGAGTTGTATCATTTGAAGTCGGAAATGAAAGTCGATGAAAATAGTAAAGCTTCTACCAACAATAATAATAAATTATCAAAGAACGTACAGAAAAGTTTTATTAAGGTGTGTACATACATATATAAATATATTTCTATAAATTCTATAAATTTATAATATAAATATATATTATTTTTGTAGAAAATTCACAAACAACACGAAGAAGTTTTACAAATAATGAATCAAAATGCAATGCTCATTAATCGGCTTAAGGAGTTGGGCATTGATTGCAGCAGCGTGAAGCAGTTTGAAACTGTGCTAAACAAAACGTAATCAATATTCTGTTGAAGAAAGTAAGATAAGACTGTGAAAATAACTATAGGGACTCAGGCTTATAATTTTCATATTCTATGACATTTTTCATATATATATGTATGCATACATAGCCTATTTACATATTCCTAAAGCGAAAACTATTTCTATAATTTTTTTTTTTACAGTACATGACAAAATATTATATACACTTATTCCATATTTGATCTTTTTTCCTGAGTCCTAGTGAATCTGTTATAGAATAAGTATTCAGTAGACTTTGAAATACAGAGTTGCGTAACCATTTTATTGAGTCTAAAAATGTCCAAGGACACCGCTTTATTAGCAACTTGTGCATCCAAATTAATGCTTGTTGCAGAAGTACCTATAATTACGTATGTTTTCTAAATTTCCTTTAGTTAAGTATGTATGTATGAATGTAAGAACATAATGAAATATTCTTAAAGTTGAATTTATTATAGCTTTTAATTAAGAAATTTTTGTATTCTAACTATTTTACCCAAAGCAAAACAATAATGATTTCAAATATGAACGSCTCATGTTATTATTGATTATTCACTAGCTAGCACGTTGAACTTTGCTGATCTCTTACATTTTCATTTGCATCGAAYCTATAATAATAATTGTTGTAATGGCAGAATCCATTCTTCAAGTAATTTCGAGAAATGATGCCGAGTTGACAGTCCTTTTTTTAGATAAAAATCTGGTTCCGTTACTTAGACCTGACTGTGATGGGAACGGTTAACCACTAGCAATGGTAATATCACGTAAGCTATTGCATGTGGTCATAATTCTAGAGATTGCCGGCGAATCGTGAATGTGTTCTGTCCGCGTCATCCTACATATTTCGAGCTCAACATCGCAGGGCCACTAACTATAAGTCTGAAATTCTGAGCATGTCTTGAGATGACCCGATGTATTGAATGTGTTGCACCTAACCGAACTGGTATTTGGATTGAGTCTTTTATCTCATAACCAACAAAAAACTTTCCACTGACCGACATATAGTCAAAACGAACCTTATCCAAATGATGGCACGACACTAGCCAGTAGAACAAGACAAAGAAACGTTGTTGGCAATATACAAGGCAATCGAYCAGGCGGTTCTTAATTATCTAACCCTTACGCACCAAAAAATATTAATGTAGCCTTAACACTCGAACTTCGTCCGATATGTGCATATTTTTCAGATTGTTGTTCACCTGTGTTTTCTGATTCAATACACACGTCCTTTTCACCACAAAAAGCCGCTCTTTTGCTTGAACCGCCGATATCGTACCACTATAGCATGTAGCTGCCATACAAAGTGACCGATCAAAATCAAAATAAAGATCTTTACACACTGTTATACTATAAGAAATGGACCTATAAAAGGCATTAAGCTTCAATTCAAGCAAAGTTTATTCTAAATTTTGGTTATGTTCTTCATACAACATATTATTAAATTAATGTAACAATTATAATTAAACGAATTAAATAATATTACGAAATTGAGCAGCCGCACCACTCAATTATATTATGATTTTAGAGCCTTTTCAAAAAATTCTACCATTAGTGGATACACATCATCATACTGTTCACTTTTTTTCCTTCGCACTTGATCACGGTAACGTTGCAATGCACCTGATATCAATTCTAACTTTTCACGGTCCGATGTATGTCCATCTAACCATTCCATCAAACGTTCATTCGACCAATTCGCGGTGGTATGCGGACTCTGAAGTTCGGCACTGCCATGCCCGAATAATAGAAACAACACAATATAGCTGGGCACCAGTGAATCATTACCAACACTTTGTTTCACCAATTCTTTTGGAGGTTGCACAATTAAGAACGACATTGCACGTAGTAAGCGAGCASAATTTCCTAAATCTGGCAAATTAGGGCAAATCGGTTTAAGTGCTTGTTCCATGTGGTTGCAGTCATTATTTAGACGTTGGCGCCCTGCATCGCTGATTGGACGMAAAATGCTCATATTGTGCACAAATAACTCTATGCAACGTTTAGCCAATTCATGACCACACTTCGCCACCAACTCTTTATCTTCGAAGGGGCCAATATGATTCTGCCAGACGCGGCTAATAAATTCCTGTAATGCAACATATTAATAAATAAATACAATATAAACATTTTTCATTACATAATGTTACTTACCTGCAACTCCTTCATGTACATTGAAGGGCCGACAATAGATATTTTTTCGGAACTAAGTCCTGGTTCACGATGCATGCTAAGCAGTATAATACTAATCGTTGACAAAATTGAATTCATAATCTGCTGTAATATGGTACCAATTAATATATTCGTTTGTTCCAAAGATTTTAATATTTCTTGTTGTGCCGACGATTTTGATTTCGAAAATTGCACATTCAAGTCGGTTAACATGCGACGTACGGAGTCTTTATAGTAATACAAAATATTCGCCAATATCACATTTTGTGTTTGCAGGAAGTTTGGAATGTCAACTACTTGTTTGGAATCGGGACCCAATTTGATTTGTGACTCTAGTTTAGTGCATAAGTCTTTGCCACAAGCTATAAAAACAGCTCCAACGGAATTTGTTAACCGCGTGTCTATTAGAGCAGCACTTAATTCTGTAGAAGCAACTCGTATAAGTGCATCAACCGTTTCATTTGATGGTAAGTCGACACCAGCGAGACAAGCTTTCATATTTGCGGCACACTTGCTTATATAGCCCACTTCCAATGAGGAGAACATGTCGTTATCGAACAGAAATTCACCATTCAAACGCTGCTCGAAGCCACGTGCGGAGGTCAACAATTTTGCTAAGCCTTCTTGTAATGTTTGCGTTACGTGAGCTGGACTATCAGTAAAGGTTTTGCGTAATAGCTCTTGCACGGCAAACCAAAAATGGTTATGGACATCATATATTTCKGTTGAATCGAAGCCAAATTGTCTTATTTGATCCAAAGCGCGTTTTAACAAATTTACTTGTTCGCAACTTTCATAAAGTTCTTCATATAATAGCCAGTGTAGTGATTTCCAAAATTTGGCTCTGAAATTTTGAGTCGTGGTCAGCATAGGTGTTTTCCCAGGACCACGTACTGTACCACTAGGTTTGGGGGCAACGGTGTTACCACTTTTGGTCAAAACGGTAATATCTGTCCCAGCAAAACAATCTCTAAGTGATTGTTCTAAGTCGGAGATGTACGTTGCTACTAAGTTATCTAACGACTTTTGCAGTAARTTGAAGTTTTTAACTATCTAAGAAAATTGATTATGCACATTATGTACTGTGAGTACAAATAAATACTTTATATTATTACCTTTAGAGCATTAATTACTAAAACTTCATTCCTTTCCTGCAGACCTGTTATAAGTTGCATTTGTGTTAGGTTTCTTAACTTTTGTCGAGAGCTTATAACTTCGGCTCGAGCATTTTGAACGAAATCAATTTTTTTTAAATCTTCGTCATCAACCAATTGTCCTAGTTCATAATGAAGCTCCGCTTGTTTAAGCACATCCTTCGTAGAACGTAGTTTCGCTGTCAGTGTTAGTAATGTGCCGGCCGAGCGTAGAAGGTGCGATAACTCGTGCAATCGTCCCAAAATACGCGTTTGGTTATCGACCTGTTGGTATTGGGTATCAATTTGAGATTTCAACTTTTGTCCAGTTCCTCGAATTTGTTCCACATCGTTAGCTAAAGTATTGAGGGCAACATCAAACCGCCCAGCATGTGTTGCCTGCTGAAGTAAAGCATCATGTTTTTCGCGTACTTGGTGATGTAGATCGTCATTGACATTTTGCAAACGTCTTGTAAGTTCCTGAATTTGCTCCTGAATTGTCGTGTTGGCATCTATATTCGTAATAGATTCGTCATCTAATTCCAAATTAGACCTTAGAATGATAGATAATTAAAATAACTATAATGTTATACAGTTGCGTTATGACTAGTAGTTACATTTGAGCATTGATTTGATACAAGTATGAAGTGCACAAATATCACAGGTTTTCCGCAAATTTGGTTTGCAAATCAAAACAGAATGAAATACGGGATAAAATGTAAATAACATTACCAGATGATTTGAATTTGTATTTAATAATTGTTTACAATATAGGATTGCCAATGGTAACATTAATTAATATGAGAAATAACATATAATTTACCCAGCTACGTAAGAAACCTAACAAGTAAAGCTAAAATTGTATTATAAATATTATAAGGCCAAAAAACAAAACGGCTTTTTTTATTAAAAATTTAGTTATCAAAGATAAAATTATTAATGCCTTTTAGAATAACTTGTTAAAAAAGTTAGTATGCTTTATTTCTTCGAAAGCGAGATATCTTTTCACTTAGCTGAGAAGAAAACTAAAAATTATTGAACTTATTATATTTGAATAATTTGGGCCTAAGTATTTCCAAATAAGCTTACCCAGATGTGTACTAAATAAATTAGTAATGTGTGGCAACTTTCTATAGAACAAATGCTTTGAAACGTGTGGCACCGTCCTTAATATTTGGCAATCGTTGAGGAGTTCGGGTAGAATATTTCTCGTTGGAAAAGTCTGAACTTTTATTTTATTCTTATAAGAAATTTAATTTCAAAACATTACAAAAAGCTATCCAAGTATAAAAGTGATAAGTGAAGATTGTGTGTAAACAAAATTTAAGCAAGAATGTGCACAATTAATAGGTATAGTTTAAAAAAATAAAGATTCTTATATGAATTTTCTGAAAGTGAAATGACACTTTGAGAAGACAAGAGTTTAGAACTATATTCGAAGACGAAGGTGGTGGCGACGGCCATTAAGGAATTCGTGAGTTTGAGATGTGTTAATTCGCCAAAGCAYCGTCGGGATTCGGTTAAAGCTAAACAAAGTGTCGCCAGTAGAGAGGAGTGGTGCWTGTGAGTGCTGCCAGATGTAAAAGCGTAGCACTGCCTTAAAGATTGGCGCATATTTTAGCATTTGTTTACAATTGTTTATATTTGAAAAAGTGGGAAAATTTAAGTTGAGTGCATAAAAATGATTAAAAATAAAAGCTCAATTAATGAGTAATAGTTTTTATCCAGTCATTTCGTCTAATGTTCGCTGTATCCGCAAAAGTGAGATTTATAAGCGGCAAAGTGTATTTGAAAGTTTTATGTAATTGTTTTTAAATAAAAGACGTAGTATGTCATTAAAATTAAATAGTAAGTAAAATATATATTCCATATACCAGCAATGAGTAATGTTTCATATTTAAGTTAAATTAAAAACATATGCTATGGTTGTGTAAAGAGCGCGTAACCGCCTTCTCATCGCTCCTCCCAAAATTTTCAATATGACCTTTGTGGGCATGCGTCGTTCATAGCCGCAAGAACCGCGGCTATTCCATTGAAGTTGCTTTGGTAGCGACAGCGAATGACGCCGTGTGTATGTATTTTATTGTGCCAACTTAGAGTTGCTGGTCGGGTAAAGAGACAGAGCACAATGTTTATGTCTGGTTGGAAATATGAACTTGGGAGGGGATGCGTTTTCTAAGGAGGGTCAATATGATTTATACCCAATTAGCAGTTGTTTATAAACAATAAATATGGAGGCGCCGATGTTTTTAAAAGTACAAATAATTATTATTATGCTTTTATTGAAAGCTATGTTGAATGTGAGTGTACGCGTTTTATTTTAATTGATGCTTTCCTTAATAAAAAAATATATATATTTATATATTATATATATTTTAATTATGTATATAATTTTTAAAAGCTCAACCTAGTATTTAAAGTACTTAGTATCTTTAAGAGTGTTTAAAGTTTGCYCTCAGTTTATTTGAAGACAAGAATATCACTTTACCAATTGGATTGTTACCGCTACCTTTCCCAATAAGAAACACAGCACTGTTGATTGGGTAGTGGCCCCTCACTTTTCGTTAATCAGAATCTGTGTAAAAGCAGTTGTCTGACGCGTCGGGCGCAGCGGCCGATTAATATGAGTGCACTAAATTGAGCGTCAATCATTCTGGTTGTACGTACATTTGTTATTTCTTCGTTCTCATCTCCCTCTCAGCAAAATCAACGTTTGAAAGCCACTATGCTTACGGTGTTGGCGGCTGAGGAAATGGCAGCGAATTCGATGAGTTCTCTTCACTTCTCTCCACCTAATTCGGTTCAGTTGAGTTCAGTCTACGCACCTTAACTCGTCGTCTCACCTCCGCCGACGTATTTTGTTCTATTCGGATTCTTTCTTCCTTGTTTTTTGCTTGGCACCAAAGTTCTTCCCCTCTAAATCAAGTTAATTCAAAAGTTATTCTTCAATGGCGTCCCATTAAGAAAAAATATATTCGATTATGCACAGTGGAGTGAATAATTTGTTTATGAAACTTCTAAATGTGCATATTAAATGTTTTTAGAAACTTTGTGTTAAAAATACAGGTCTTAAATATTAACTAAAACTAAAACTAAATCAGATAAATATAATATGTACCGTCGCCTATACATAAGTGTAAAGTGCAATTTTTGAGAAAGATATTTTGAAAATCAAGTGAATCGTAATCAGCTCGGAATTTGCAATTGTCATAATTCTTGTAAAGTGAAGCGAACAAATAACCAAATAATACATATGTATGAATATAGATTTGGAAGAGGCGAAAACTTAAACATTTACGTACAGAAAAGACGACTTATTAACGTCATCGTGTCATTCTGGTAATTGTAAATATGTATCAGGTATTAGGTTGAGAAGTGTGTGTGAGTGGGTAAACGTTCGGTTGGCTGGTTGAATGCGAAGCAATTGGGTTGGGGAAGCAATAGCGTATAAGCGAGTTTATGAGCGCGTGAGCAGGCAGCAGAGGCAGGGTTGCATTTATGCAGGAATGAAATGAGCTTTGAAATATACCTAGGCCGTGCGTAACAAGAAATCGACAGCCCGATGCTTTGCCCGCGAATGCACAATTTTACGTACAAACATATACACAATTGTATATACATCCATATAAGTACATTCTTGCTGCCATATGGATGTTATGTACTTAACATACTCGCATGTAAAATTATATGCAAAATTTAGTTTAAATACATATGTATGAAATAAATAATTTAAGCTTTGGAAAAGGTTCTTTGTTATAGAATAACAAATATTGTATGGCCAGTAGATCACTATTGCAGTGATCTGATATAACACGAACAATRGGAATACTCTTATTGTATTAAAATATTGTGCTGAATGTATTTGTTTTGATAAATGTAAATTTGTTTTGATAAAAATTTGTATTCAGGTTTTTGGTGAGTGGGGGAGGTAGACGTCAAGGTCAGGGAAAGTCAAAAAAATCGTTGACACTTGTATTGTGTKTGTGGTATGAACTAGGTAGTTAGTAGTAGTAGAATCTTTTCAATTTTTTTTTATCATATTTATTATATTTATGGTTAAACTTAAAAAATTAAGCATCGATTTTATGACAGACGGAAAACTGCTGCTTTGCACAAAAAAATGTTTCTATCCCTTCTCAAATCTCTATATCTACTTTGCAATCACTTTGCCCCACCTTCACCTCGACTAAATTTCGTTTTTTATTTATTAAACAATTATGAAATGCACTCTAATTGAGTATAATGGAAAACGAAATCAAACGTCTGTACAGCGGCAGAAGCTCATAGCAATAGAACGAACGTTTAATAGCTCAGTCTCAGCTAAAACTCGACATAGCAGTACGAAAGCACGAAGGCAGTGGATTATGAAGATAATTATGACGATGACTATAACAAATTTGGGAGAGGGAGAGAGAGTGCAAAGAGAAAGAATGAACTTTAATTAAATGAGTAATAAAGCAAACGAACTTGATTATACGCCTTGGATTAAATAAATATTTCATACGGTTTTGTCAATCAACTTTTCTGCTTAATATGTGTTTATTTATTTACTACCTTTAATTTTTAGAATTTTCAATTCATTAAGTATACATACATACATATGGTGAAAATTAAATAATAGAAATTCAAAAGCACTGGACACCAGATAGGCAATATGCGGGCTGATGTAGTGTCGTCGTTTTTGGCGAAGGGGTCGGAGTTCTAAATTACTGTAGTAGTATTTTATCTTATTGGCATTAGTGCGGTAAGGTGTATTTGTTGTTCTATTCTAACTTGATGCGGCGGGGCATTGGCAAGAGCGAGAGGAAGCTTTTTKTTTGTGAATAAAGTCGTAAAGAGAGCAAATTGGAAGTAAACGCACACATGCAAACCTACAAATATTGCTGATATGCATTCATACACATGCAAACGTAATTGCATGCATTGAGCAAGAGGAATGGCAAAATATAAGAGCCGAAAAATAGATTGAAAGGGGAAAAAGGTTGGGGTGAGGTAGAGGTGTTATGTACGGTGGTCACGAATTCTCAGTCATTTAGGCGGTTTTTAATTTTTATGTGTTTTCTTCTTAGTATGTTCATAAAGTAAAAATCGGTCTGTTTATTGTAGCAAGTAGGAATATTAAAAGTAATAGTTTAAAATTCTTAAAATATGTAGGGATGTACAAATAGAACTTCTGGATACAATATAGAACTGAAACCTAGATAAGTGCAATTATTAACCTTTGTTAAATGCGTAATCATTTAGTTGTACGGATAATAGTGAATATTAGAATTGGCAAATCCTTCATATTGTGATTTTTCTTACAAGTTAGTCAGATTTGCAATTTTTTAGGAAGTTTTAGTTTTTCAAGGATTGGTAATTGATATATTTTGAGAATCCTGCCTTTACACTTGGTATCTATAATAATATACATCCAGAGAACATAAAAAATTAAAAATAGCAAGACATAAATTTTAGGTTGTGAAAAAAGTCTTGCGGTATTTTCGCTAGTTGGCGCTGAGAGCGCGTAGTTCTAGTTTTATTCGTCRCATCGGGTCATGCTATACCTTTTTAGAAAGCTYATTTCACGCGCGTCRCAAACATGGAGCAAAATAAAGAGAAAATACGGCATATTTTACAGTGCTAYTACGAWACCGTTTTCGTTCTGATGTGGAGGTGGTCGAAGATGCGCCACGCTCCRAAAGGCCTGTCGTCGAAAATTGCGATAAAATCGCTGAATTGGTCGAAAGAGACTGGTATAGTAGCAGCCAAAGCATCGGTCAAGAGCTGGGCATGAGTCATCAAAAAAAATTTTGTGAACAATTRAAAATTCAATAAAARTACCGCAAGACTTTTTTTGACAACCTAATATGTATACCCCAACAATATTTTCTGGTTGATAATGTTAACAAAGCTGTAATTACAGATCCCTTCCCGTTAAAATCAAAAAAATGTCACGGGGTGAATTCCATCGTTATGAGGTGAATTCCACGGTTGAAATTTTACAAATGTTCGCTGTTAAACCTGCATCTTCTCATTCTTTTATGTTCTCTGGCGCATCTTTATAAAATAATGGCCATACGTACATATATCATATATATTATATGTATATATATGCATAACTAACGAAATACGAAATAATGAACAATAAGTACATAGCATAACCGTACATATTTTTTTATAGCAATAAATTTGAAGAGTATAAAATTATATAATATTTAAAATCAATGATAGTGCACTGCACTTCAAAATATTATCGAAGATGTTCGCCATGCAGAACAGAATTCTGTGGTGTTTAGAAAATGAATAGTGAACATGCAGCAGTAAAAGCAACTCCTGGTGAGTCAGCGAAAGCCACAATTACTGTAGCCACTGCTAATGAATTGAATCGGCAATATCAACAACAGCAACGACATTCACCACAGCAACATATTAACAATTCTCATCATTTGCATCAACTGCAATTACAGCAACAACAGACGCAAAACCAACAACTAAACGAGGTGAGTTATTTTGGCAAATGGTAATATGATAAATCAGTGTCTGTGTTCAGTTCTTGCCAACTTTTGGTTAATATGCTTTTATAGKAAAATAAATATTTGTTTTGTTGTTTATGTTCTTTTTTGATTTATATTTGTTACTTTTCGTCTACTCACGCTGTAACTGAGCTTTATAATAATATGAATAACAATAATTATTTGCACCGTCCGTCTTGGATTCTATCTCATATTTCATATTGCGCTCGTATTCCATCTCCTCTTTRCATACATTTTATGTTTAATAATAATTGAAGTAAATGGGATTTTGATTAGGTTTTTTATTTACATTAAATTATATTACATTAAATGTATCGTAAATAAATTTTAATATATAAATGTCGGACTTACAAGTTTTAAGCTGAATAAGTATTTAAGACATATTTTTGGGTATTGTTAGTTGTTAGCGTTTATGACCACCTACGGCGTGCGCAAAGTTGAATATTCATATACATACATACATGTATGTACTTATGTACATACTTATATAGTTGTAGTGCTTACTGTAATTACGTATATAAGGTTTTATAAAAGTTAAGACTAGCATTACAAAAATKTATTGCTGCAGATATACAAATGTATGTAATAGTTTGTCAAAAAAGTCTTGCGGTATTTTTATTGAATTTTCAATTGCTCATAAATTTTTTTTTGATGACTCAWGCCCAGCTCTTGACCGATGCTACGGCTGCTACTATGCCGGTCTCTTTCGGTCAATTCAGCGATTTTATCGCAATTTTCGACGACAGGCCTTCCGGAGCGTGACGCATCTTCGACCACCTCTACACCAGAACGAAAACGTGTAACCATCGTTGTGCGGTGGAAATGGAAACTGTATCGGGTCCATAAACTGCACAAATTTTATTGTCGGCTTGAGATGCATTCTTGCCTTTATCGTAGTAGTACTGTAAAATATGCCGTATTTTCTCTTTAGTTTGCTCCATGTTTGCGACGCTATAACACACGATCGACTTAAAAGAAACGACAATCAATYAAGCACGTGTTAGCGCGTGAAATGAGCTTTCCAAAAAGGTAAATCATGACCCGATGTGACGAATAAAACTAGAACTACGCGCTCTCAGCGCCAACTAGCGAAAATACCGCAATACTTTTTTGTCAACCTAATATATCTTCATATACAGGATATATGTATATGTATGTATATATAGATATTTAATAGAGATTATTTTCTTGAATTTATGAAATGTCTGATCTTATTTTTAAGTGAATTTATATTTAGCAAATTATATGCAAAAACTTCTTATTAAAACCAATTTTATGTCTATCTCTTTTGACCGATAAAATTCGATTTCATTCAAATAGCTTAATTTTATTAACTGATTATTAAAGCATATCACAAATCTCACAAATTATTTTCCACATCTAGTTTTTATATATAAATGTAATTAATTTACTCATTGTTTCACTTCCATATATTTCTCTATGCGTTTATGTTTAGCAGTTTCAGTTCATCTTCAAAATAATTTACCATTAAACACATTATAACTTTAAAAATGTAACAATACATTTATAYATACAGTATATTCAAATGTAGTTTATATAAATTATTTAATGTCGCTTGCAGTTTAAATTCCTCTCTCTAGCCTTATTCAACCCCCTTCTRTTCGTTTAGGCTATGAAACATTTTGCAGCACAAATCCTTTGCTTACTAAGAAACTCTCCTTTACATATACATACATATCATTTACCCTATCACAATTAAATGAATGTTCGTGCCTTTTGATTAACGCCACACCTCATCTCTGATTCTGCTCTTTCTCTTTTCCTCCAAATCCTTTTCATAACSAATTGTTCTTACTTTGTCACTGCAGTCCTAAGCTTTTAGTGTTCCTATTTAATATAGAATATCAGTTTGTATTACGTTGTATGTGCGGAGTATAGTTTGCCATGAAATGTCTTAGCTCATTTTATGGGATGGCGCTCCCAATTTGCGATAATATTTGTTGTTTTTGGTTTTGTTCTTATTGAAGATAATCGCATTGTTATAAATGCTAAGATAGCCTTAAATAAGATACTTGAAACGCTGATGTAGATATGTATGAAGGTATGTATACACGAGTCACGAAACAAAAAAAAATAATTTTAATGAAGAAATGAGCAAAGGCGGCATTTACTCAGGAGCCTCTGGGATAAGGTTGGCGGTGGTTCTAATCAAGATTCATTCGATTGATAGTAGTATTCCCTATGTAAAGACGAGAGAGTTTTTCAAAATTTCTATTTTTAACTTTTTGGAATATTTTTTAGGAAAAAACTGGATGTTTAGCGAAAAGCTATGTCATTGTAAAATGAAAAATTTGAAAACTCTTCAACGTTATCTCATAAATTATGTATAGAATATAGCGTTCAAAAAGAATTGATGCAATTTGAAGTTATGAGGGCACCGACTTTGTAAAAGKGAGTTGAGAAGAAATCGGTTTGAAGTTTTTAAATTCGACTTGAAATATAGATACAATATTCTTAAGATATTATGCAAACATATAAAATATATACATACATATGTACATACATATATTTAAGACAAAAAAAAAACTCGTAAAAAAATAAATTACATCATCAAAAAGGAGCAGCTCCGCTAGGAAGAAGGAGTAGGCAGAGATAGAAGTTGCTAATGGAGGGTTATAGTTTCAGCATGTTTACATATTTATCCTACTTGTCACATTCTAAACTGGCCACTGTAAGATGAAGAATCACATATGTATATAACATGGGCCCAGCTTCTTGCGCAAAAATGCTTCATTTGATACTAACCAAAATGCGTTGAGTCGATCCAAAAGAGATGTTAAGATCCTCTGTTATTTCTATCGCCAACATGATGATTTTTTGGAACACACTTTTCGCGTAGTAAACAGCTTTCAAACACACACTAATTGACATAGCAGGTCAAACGTCTCACGAATATAAAAAAGTGGTACCAGTCTAGGAAAAATTGTATATTGAAAATATGCAACCCAACCACACTTTCGTATTCAGTCCTTACTTAATTTGTAATATTTCAGAACGAATTAGATTGTCCACGTTACACAAAATATTGAATGTAAAACTATATCCGAATTTACGCAGACGAAGATATAATATATTATTTAGTTGACATCAGCCTGAACCACATAAATTCTACAGACACCGACATCCATATAGGTAAAATATTACCGATCTTCATGTAACAGATCGTAATGTCATGAGCTTACATAAGCATTTTTTATCAACTTCTTGTAGCTATTCTCATTTGATAATTGACTTTGTATGRATTTCTCTACTCACTTTTGTGCATATTTTGTGTAATATATGTATGTATGTATGTAAGCGAGTATATTTGTGGACATGAAATATTATGCATTTGTCTAAAACCTCACTTTACCTGTATATTAATTCATTTGCACTCATTTGTAAACACTCACATAAATATGTACATATATTGTACGATGATTTTTGAGAACAAATATTCATACGAGCAAGCAGACGCATATACTTACACATACATCTACATCACATACACACAACCATTTGTGGATATACGTTCCTGCATMTAGAATATTGTATGTGCTAAAAGAGCTGTTGGTTGGCAAACAAATCACGTGCATATATAAACGTACATATATGAATGTTATGTAGCTTACAAAAATAATGCCAAAAATAACAATTTGCATCCTAAATAAGAACAGAAATCCTTTGAGTCTGAAATTGTGATATTTCATTTTTAAAAGCATCCACAACATGTTGCAGCCACAGCAAATCCGAAGACAACAAACAGCACAACAACAACAACAATTGCAACTGCAGCAGACGCAGCAACAGATTAATTCAATGTCGTTGAGCAGTGTAAGTGGTGGAGGTGGTGGCGGGGGCTCCACTGCCATAGTGACAACCCCCTCCACTATAGCCACAGCAGGCGGCATGGTTGGTGTTGCCGGTAATACTTTAATACCACTGACAGCCCCAGTCCAACAGCAGCCAGTTTCAATAGCCACTTTGACGGCGGCGACAATTGCGGCCGTTGCAGCTGGAGGTGGCACACCAACCACTCTAACCGCGACGCCAGTAACTGTCAGTGGTCTTAGCATAAGTGTTACGAATCCTGCAACTGTCGTTACTGGCAATATTGCTGAYACAAAGATAGGCCAAACGGCATTGCAACAGCACCAACAACAAACGCATCAGCAGCAACAAAYAATAAGTTCAACTGGAGACACATTAGCAACGGCATCAACCACAACTGCACTATTGCCAAATGCACCAAACGTAAGAGTTTTACGTCGTAGTACAACAACAACACAATAAATGAGCAAAATTAAAAATTCACCCACACTCACACACTAGCTCATCACGCATTATCARCCAATCACCGGTTCATTCAATGCGCACAATTATCGAAACAAAAACATAAACACGCAAACATCAACACGTTGGAATTWCATTAAACGTCCGCCGCGGATTCTGTAGAAAGTTTTATAAGAAGGGACATGCATTCTGCATGAAATTTATGGATTAGATTACATAATAACATAATAATAACTGCGAAGGTTTATCAACTAATATTCCGCAAAATATTTTCGAGCTTCCGCTTGTAGATCCATAACTTCCAATCAACGACAAACAAAATTCTCTAATGACCCGCTTGCTGGTTAATCCTTTTTTTATTTTAATAATGGCTTAAATGCAAAGATTTATTATAATTTACCTCTTTTTACCTATTTTCTAAGAGTTTTCTGTTTACTTTCATTCATACAATCGCACTAATCTCATTTAATTCCTTTTTTATTGAATACAGCGAATTCGATTTCTCTTTCATTTTATATATAGTACTTTGTACGTTTCTAAGTAAATTATCTATCAATTTATTTTTTCAGTTGAGCAAATATTGGGTCGTATCAAATGGTCAAGCTCTGCCCTATAATATTTTGCCAAATGGAACAATAATCACACAACATCAGCGGCAGCAAACGTCGGACCAGGATACACATTCACAGCAACAGGTTCAACTGCAGCAGCAGCAGCAACAACAACAGCAACAGCAAACTAATGCATTACAAATTCACGGTAATGCAAAAATTTCCCATTTGAATTTTTCTTTTTTTTTTTTAGCTTTTCGTGGTCGATTTGCCAAAAATAGAGTTTTATTTTATTGTTGCCAACTTTTATTAGTCTTCATGATTATTATTTTTTTTTGCAGCTGCAGTAAATGCAAGCGATGACAATCGACAGCAACAACAGCAGCATGTTTCGCAGCAGCAACATGTAACTGCCGCTGTGCAGCAGTCACAGCAAGCTCAACAACAGCACCAACAGCCCCAACAACAACAACTCCTACAACGAGAAAATATTAAAGAGGAGAAACCATTTTTAGATAACGGGAAGTTAAATCAATCCTTAGTGATGCAACACGTAGGCGCAACAGCATCGTCCGCGCCGACGACATCCGGTGCTACTACCATAACCCTAGGTGCGCCGAAAACCGAAATTAAAGATGATGTTGGAATGGGCAAACCGCCTATTGAAATGTATAAAGTTAACATTGAAGACTTTTCCCAGCTTTTTACCTATCATGAAGTTTTTGGTAAAATTCACGGTGATGTCATGAATCAGGCCGCACATGCAGTACCCAATCCTGCACCACCACCACCGCATGGTAATGCGAGCAACAATGCTGCAGTTGCGGCCGTTGTGGCCAGCGCTAATGCTGCCGCTGTCGCTGCTGCTGCGGCCGCGGYAGCCGCAAATACAACAAGCGGTGTTGTGGCCCCCACAACAACTACCAATCTAACGACGGCAATCAGCACTAGTGGCACTACCACTGCCCCCGCAACGGCTGTAACAGCAACCCCAACTGTGACTGGGGAGCTATTGATGCCGAAAATGGAGGGCGGCCTACCGGTTGTGGATCAGACAACAACCATCGCGCTTGCTCCTGATGGCACACCTATCGCTACTGGTACACATGTCTGTGACATTTGTGGCAAAATCTTCCAATTTCGCTATCAGTTGATCGTACATCGACGTTATCATAGTGAACGGAAACCATTCAATTGCCAGGTTTGTGGACAGGGCTTCACAACTTCACAAGATTTAACGCGCCATGGGAAGATTCACATCGGTGGACCAATGTTTACGTGTATCGTTTGTTTCAATGTATTCGCTAACAATGCCAGTTTGGAACGCCATATGAAACGACATTCAACCGATAAACCATTTGCATGTACGATCTGTCAGAAGACATTTGCACGCAAGGAACATTTGGACAACCACTTTCGTTCGCATACGGGCGAGACCCCTTTCCGGTGCCAATATTGYGCAAAGACATTCACACGGAAGGAGCACATGGTGAATCATGTGCGCAAACACACGGGTGAGACGCCACATCGTTGCGATATTTGTAAGAAGTCCTTCACGCGCAAGGAACACTATGTTAACCACTACATGTGGCACACTGGTGAGTGGTGGGGCGCGTTAAAAGACAAATCCCCTCTTTAACCTAACAATATTTCATATAATTTCATTCAACTGATCCAACTGATTTAAGTTTAAATGAGAAATTACTGTGTTTGTTTAGCAGATGCCAAGTATATTGAATTCTAATTGGATAAACTCTAACTCGGGCAGCTCTCATTTTTTGCGCTTTGCCAAGCAACAAACGCCATTTTTATTAGAGAGAAGCATGGAAAGCAATGCTTTCATTCTAACAAAGTCTTTGCTTTCCTCGCTTTATTGTTAAAGTATGAATTGTYAGCAAAGCGAGGAAAGTTCTATGTGAATCGCCCACAATTCTCAAAAAGCAATAGATATATACATATCTATAATGTTTGGAAAAAAAWTTCTAATAGGCAAAAAAAAACTTTATTGGAAATTAAAAACAGAAATCATATACACACATAATTCAAATGTTACTTATTAATCCTATTATTATTTGAAAATAAAAAAAAACAAAGGAACTATACAACTCATAATAAGATATCACGATTTTTTTATTAACGTTTTAATTAAAAATATTTGCCATTTGTTACAAAGTATAGCAAAAAGACTTTAGTTGCACATAATTCAAAATTATTTGTGTACCTTGAAATTTAGTTTCATACTGAGTTTGTCAGTTATTATTAGCCGATTTATTTCTGTCATCTCGCCTTTTTGATATCAGTTGTTCAAAATTCCCTGGTCTTCATCGCTACCAACATAACAAGGGAATGCGCTTGAGAGAGAATTTTGAGAAAATGAGAGGCTCTCGCATCATGTCATCCTTGATCCTGCAACCCTCACGCGTCTTATTTTAAAATGCAACACTGTGTTTAGTATTTTGTAAATAGAATAAATTGCTTGAGGTTTGGTTAATCAAGCCTTTAAAATAATATAAATAATGTTTCCATTTTATTCTCACAATGTTTACAATGAATTTGTTACAATTAAAAAGGAAGAAGAGGAACCATCCTTCTATCTCCCACCCACCACTCTAAATAATCTTGTGAAACCAAGTGGTGTCGAATTTTCAAGTAAATAATTTACAAAACTTATCCTTTAACTATGCTGTCTCTTATACACATCTGAAACCAAGTGGTGTCGAATTTTCAAGTAAATAATTTACAAAACTTATCCTTTAACTATGTGTGCCCAATTGTAAAACATTTCCATTCTTCAGCACCATTTCATAACCACACAACCATTTAAGTGCAGATATATGTATTAAAAATTTTGTTTTTTTTCTTATAGGTCAAACACCTCACCAGTGCGATGTATGTGGCAAGAAGTATACACGCAAAGAGCACCTAGCTAATCATATGCGTTCACACACTAATGACACACCATTTAGATGTGAGATATGCGGCAAAAGTTTCAGTCGCAAGGAGCACTTTACCAATCACATTCTCTGGCATACAGGTTAGTATACGTCTTATACCAGTGAAACACTTGTAGTGGTTTACAGAACTAATCCTATAAACTTAATCCATAGGCGAAACACCTCATCGTTGCGATTTCTGCTCGAAAACATTTACACGCAAGGAACATTTGCTAAATCATGTACGTCAACATACTGGCGAATCGCCTCATCGTTGCACATATTGCTTGAAAACGTTCACACGCAAGGAACACCTAGTAAATCACATACGTCAGCATACTGGTGAAACACCGTTCAAATGCACCTATTGCACGAAGGCATTTACGCGCAAAGATCATATGGTGAATCATATTAGGCAACATACCGGAGAATCGCCGCACAAGTGCACATACTGCACAAAAACATTCACACGAAAGGAGCATCTGGTAAATCATGTGCGTCARCATACTGGTGAATCTCCTCATCGTTGCAGTTACTGCAAGAAGACTTTTACACGCAAGGAGCATTTGACGAATCATGTACGTTTGCATACTGGCGATTCACCGCATAAATGTGAATATTGTCAAAAGACATTTACGCGTAAAGAGCATCTAAACAATCATATGCGCCAGCACTCCAGTGACAATCCACATTGTTGTAATGTGTGCAACAAGCCATTCACTCGTAAAGAGCATCTCATCAATCATATGTCACGTTGCCACACCGGTGATCGTCCTTTCGCTTGTGAGACTTGTGGTAAGTCATTTCCACTCAAAGGAAATCTGCTGTTCCACCAACGTAGTCACACTAAAGGACAGGAATGTGAACGTCCGTTTTCATGTGAGAAATGTCCCAAGACCTTTATATGCAARGGTAAGAGATTTTTAAAATTCAATAAAAATTGTGGGTATATTAAGCTATATTTATTAAAGGTCATCTTGTCTCGCATATGCGTTCGCATTCGGGCGAGAAACCGCACGCCTGCACATTGTGCAGCAAAGCTTTTGTTGAGCGTGGAAATTTGAAGCGTCACATGAAGATGAACCATCCCGATGCGGTAATGCCTCCTCCGCCGCAGCCTCATCCGCAAATTCCAGCTGGTATACTGACGTCGGTCAAAGAGGAAATAAAACCAATATTTCGTAAGTGTTTAAAATGATTTTAAATGATATAATTAAGTGAAATAAGTTACCAATTTCAAATGTATGTATAAATGATCGGCGTGACGAAATAAGTCGATTTAGCCATGCTCGTCTGTTTRTCCGTCTATATACGCGAACCAGCCCCTCAGTTTTGAWCTGTATGTTCTATTTTTTTATTGGTTGAGATATCTTCACAAAATTATGTAAGCAACGRTACAATCTTCAACCAAATTGTACAGATCGAACTATTTTAGTATATAGTTTTCATACAAATTGACCTATAAAAACAAAGATAAATATCTTTTTAAACCCTTATCCTTTTATACCCTTATTCTATTAGAAATGCACCTGCAAGGATATCAGGGTTTAGGTTTACCCGAACTTAATATTTTTTTTCTTGTTTTYCCAAAGTTCAATTTTATACCACAATTTTTTACTATGATGCASTCACAAGTCTCTGAAATTCATATTTTAAATTAGAGACAGTTTCTGTGACATGTGGTGATTTTGCAATTCAACACGTGACAGTCACAAAAATCTCTCAATTGATTCTCTTACATTTTATAATATATTTGTCGATCATAAATATTACATTTTCTATAACATAGTCAAAAAGCAAAAATAYCAATTAAAATATACAAATACCATATTTAATTTATTTSTTTTTAACTTTATCGATTACAATCGATTAGTATCTATAATGATCTCTATAAGTGRCTTGTCAGTATATTCAAAATGGCAAAYAAAAGTTCTTTGTAGCTWTGTGACGTGAACAGCTATCTATGAGGTGACAAATTTGTGACAATATTTTGTGACTACAGACTGTGTTGTGAAAAGTAACTTGTCACAAATTGAATTGCGCTATTAGATATGAATAGATATATAATTAGCCCAGTTACAGTTATTTTTGAATTTTTGTTTTAAATTATTAATATTTTTGTTCTTGGCGTTCTTTTAGCAAATTAGGGRTACCACTTATGATTTTAATTTTGCTAACAACACATAATTATGAATTTTCACATTTCCGCTCAGTTCCTCATCAAACACCGACCATGCACACCATCCAACAAATAACATCGGGTGCAGCTGCGGCAAATGCCGTGCAGTTAGCTCCTAGTCTAGTGCCGTTGGTTACCTCAACGATAACTTCACATAATAATCAGAAGCCGCAGCAGCAGCAACAGCAACAACAGCAGCAACAACAACAACAGCAACAGCAACAAGCACATCAACAGCACCAACAACAGGTGCAACAGCAGCAGCAACAACATCAGCAGCAGCAGCAACAGCAGCAACAACAATTACTACAATTATCCATACAACATCAACAACAGCAGGAGCAACATCGCCAACACCAGCAACAGCAACAGGCGCATCATCAACAAACACAGGCGCAAGCACAACAACAAGCTCATGCACCACAACCTCAACCGCAACAACCGCCACCCGTGCCTATCGCACTCATACAAACCGATCCGGGCGTCTTGGCGCGCGCCGCCATGCAACTGCAGCACCTGCCAGCGAATGTCGAGCAACATCCGGTGGTTTACTAACAGCAGCATAATTTCACACACTGGTGAGGCGCGTTGACGGCAGCGTTCAATAATAATAATAATAACGTTAATGATATTAGCGAGGTGGATAGAACGGTGCTGAGATAAACGCGAGGCTGTATCTGCTATTGCCCCGGCGCAATGGCGACTGGGGCTTAGTAGTGCAACCGAGACTGTAAGTTGCTGACGTGATTGTGAAAAGGCAACATTTTATATGGCGCGTAAGCRTTAAAGTAAGACGGAATTCGTATAGTAAAAGAAATTTCTTTTTCTGCACATATTTCTAAGCTTTTAATTTAAGTCATTTACATATACCACATTAACCGTGCTGCATTATTATACGCGCGCATAAATATCTTGAGTCCAATATTAATGACGCGCGCAACATTTTTATTATTATACATAATTAGAACATAAGTTTAAACCCCAACATTTAATTTGAAAATGAAGTCAGATTGTCGCTAAAATAATSAAACCTCGCGACACGCTGTTCTCCGCTTAGCATAAACCTGAACCTGAAATGAGCAATTTCTTATTCTATTGTGTTGATTTGAAAACTCTACTTTTAAGCTTTACTTTTCAGCTTTACTGTTTATTTCGAACTTTTTGTGTTGAAAGTCCCGAATGGTAGTTTTGTGCAATATGACGAGTTTTCTAAAGCTCTACTTTTAAAGTAGCAGCATTTATTTTTACGTAAACAGTGTTTTTCACGCTTACTTTATTCAGATTYGTGCTAAGCTGGTTAACAGCGTGTTTGGGTAAAAACGATTGGATGTGTGCTGAATTGTGAATGTAACATACCTAAAAGTGTTACTTAAACTTAGTGAAGTGCCAAGTTTGAATTGGCATCATATACTTCAGACATTATTAAAATTTGTATGATAAGGGAAAGTTTTTGTAAATTACTTTTTTTTTATATTTTTTAATAAAAATATGCTTCCAAATGCTTTATTTATTTTAAAACTTATTAAAAACAGCAAAAAAAAAATATAAAAATTTTAGATACAYAATTTCGATTAAACTTTTACAACAGTTTTTATGTGTGACATTTGCTATAAAAATATTGAATATTGACAGTTATTTTCGAAAATCATGTTCTCTTCGTCCTACGCTTTCTTTGCATACTATGAAGAATACAAATCGTGCCATCCAATTTTATATACCTACATATATATGCTTATATGTTTAAGATACTTACATACAAATATGTAAGGTATCGACGAGAGATGTATATAATACAAAGCATACATACATATTTAAAAATGTATAAAGAAGTATTTTGAAAAAATCAACAACAACAACGTGTAGTGAGGTTGCGATCTCGATATTTGTTTTCACCCTTTTTTTTTTTGTTTTCGACTCATTAGGTTTTCCTTATTATATGCAGCTAAATGGTTTATAATTTTTCTGTGACAAACATTTTTAATTAAACTACAATTTATTAAATATTTAAAAGTAAAWTATAAAGAGATACGCTGTATTATTCGCATTTTAGAAATGAGTAAAATTAAGTGACTCAAGAGAGACGAGTGGTAATTAGCATAACAGAGAGTGAACTATTGTCATAATTGACTTTGATTTAATTTTTTGTTGGATAGAAAATTAAGTATGATATGAAAGATAAAATTAGATGTGTAGTAGTATGGCTTTAAGCGTAGTATATGCAAAAATTGTAAATTAAAGTCAATCATTTGAAATTCGGTATTACTATTATTGATGGGAGAAAAGTAAGAGAAGAAAATTTTAAATATGTACGCAAGCCAGCATAAAAACGTGTACAATTCCAAATTAAATTATTCATTTACATGCAACTAGAAATTAAGGCAGCAGCAATAATAAGCAAATATTTAAAGAAGTCTAAAATAAAAGCCTACGAAAAAATTTTAAMGCGACAACTTAGTGAACATTAAAAGAAAATCATTAAAATAGTTATACATATATACATGCTATACATACTTTATATATCCATATATGTATATATAAATATGTTATTGGATCCGTTAATCATAAAGTAGTTCAACTAACTCGTAGCACACGTACGTACATATACACAAAAATACATAACATACATACAGTTGATAAAAAGTTTGTTTCCGAACTGCAAGTTACTAGCTATTAGGAAGAAGTATGCGAAAATTGACAAGTTACTTCCACAAAGTGCGAAATAATTGAGCAAAGGCTCGGGGAACTAGAGAAAATTACAAAGGAAATATAATGTCTTTTTTGTGTTAAAAACGCATTTTCAGTAAAAATTGTCTGACTAGTGATGCTAAGCAGTTAAGAAACAAACCGATTGTAAATCACACAAAATCATCAAAAGGTAAACAAGAACATTCATAACAAAAATATTTTCGTAAGAAAAAGCACGCTCTCAAGCAACACAAACCTTATTTTTTAATATTCTGTTTTTATTTTCATTTTTATTTATATTCTCTTTTAATTTTAATCATGTTTATTATCTTCTCTCATCTATGTGCTACATTGTTATTATGACTGACCCAAATTTAAATTTCCACTTTGAAACTTCAACTGGTGCAGAAAGTATTCACATAATAACTGAAATCATCGATACATCATTTACATACATACATATTTATCAACTGCATAGACACAAATAAAATATCTAAACTAACCAATTACACATAGCAACTGCAAATATAAAACTAAACATAAAAATTAAAAATTAAAATAAATAACTGTTAACGCTTTAATTTACAATTAATCGATACGCATAAATAAATGTACGATAAAAGGATAACGGATAGTTATTAATAAGGCACCATACAAAGGTGGGGTTTGATTTTTTCGTATGAGCAGCAGCGTTAAAGAAGCGTAGTAAACAATAACACCAGCAAAATATTTTGTAAGAAATAGCAATATAATGCTTACATATATATACACACATTACTAATAAATGAAATAATGCTAAAATTATTGCAAACATAGTGTTAGTTATAATATATATATATATATATATATATACATATATACAATATACACTTAAGCTCATTTACTAAGCTAACAACTAAAACAACAATGATTGTTATTAAATGGGTATAAAAGTAATGCAATTAATATACATATACTAATGGTTAATTACAGAACCAAAAACACACAAAAATATAAAGATCTTCAAATACATTATTATGCGCGCTGAGCGTTCGATAAGCATAAATGCAAGGGTGACAATGAAAAACATATAGGTATTAGCTATAAATATGCAACTAACTTTGCACAAGCACTAACTAACTAGAAGCGTTGAAGAGCATAGACAATGTCACATGTGTAAACGCTTAAATAATGTAACTGCATAGTATTGAACATAGACATATTGGTGGCTACTTGGTTACAATATTGGTACACTTTGTTGGTCGCAAATAAAATTCTTATGAGCAAGACGCTTACACTGTAAAAAATAAGAAAGCGTTAGCGCTACTGTACAGGCTGGCCACCTTATGTACCAACGCAAAGCTAAGAAGAGTTAATTAAGAAATGATAAGACAATGTTGAAAGTTTGATTTTGCTTTGTAAATGTGCATCATTTTTAGCGGCTTCCAGAAAAATGTGTAATTGTGAGCAAAACAAAAAAAAAAAAAAATTATACTAAATGTATGCCAATCAATAGCGCAGTCTACTAGAATGTGTATGAAGTTACGTTTATTACACTGAAAATGTATAAATAGATACATATGTATTATTATTAAGAAGAAGAAAATTATTGCTGATCGCTTTGTCGCTGATTAACATATTTAAAAATATATATTGGAATTTATACTTTAAAAAAGTAAAATATCAACCAATTAAAAAATGCATATATATATAACAGTAAAAACAAAACATAATTAGAGTTGTAATAATAAGAAATAGTAATAAAAACATATCCTTATATCAACTAAATCACAGTTTGTCAAATGAAAGTAAAAACTAACATGTTTTAATAAACAAAAAATATTGTAGCGCATAAAAAATAGAAATGTATGCACTGTTTTAAGTTGAACTCTTCAATGAAAAGCTTACAATATATCGTTGAAAAAATTGCAACAACAGCAAGAAATAACAATTTCTATAATCATAAACCTTACTATGTATTTTAATGCACTGCAATTATATATACATACATATATATTTGATTTGCTTTTGAAAATAATATGATGGTGTGTTTTATTGATTTCTTTTGTGGTTTGTAATTTTTGACATTTGTGGTTTGTTAACTTTACACACAACCAGGGTTGCGAAATTTTAGATGCAAAATTTTTAGATTATTTATTAGATTTTCAAATCGTTTTTAAAAATATTTATTTAAACATCTTGAATAAAAATGAGAAAACATTTTTTAAAGCAAAGATTGGACTTTAATTGACAGTTGAAATGAAAAGGTATACAAATAATTAAGATTTGAATACATTTTTCTTTCTGAAACATAATTAAAAACAATTTAATGCAAATACGGCAAAAAGAGCTAAACTATTTTTTTCATTAAAAATACGCTTTGATTTCAAAAGATATTCATAATGTCATAGTAGCAAGTATGCAGACGCGAAAAATTAAAATTCTAAAATAGGGTTTTTTTAATTTTTAATTATAAGCTTTGCAATACATTTATTTATTTTTAATTTATTTTCTTGTTTTTTTTTTTTAACTCGGTTTTTAGGATGAAAAATTAAAAATAAGTCTTAAAAAATAAATTTCTAATCCGATTTTTTTTTCAATAACGTAGGATGAAATTTTGTTTTAATTCGGTATCTAAATTTATTTTTAATTAAGATTAAGGGGACTACGAAAAAAAAATCAAGCTAAGCTATTTTGGTAATGCATTATTTGCAACCCATCACACTACTAATACGGTAAAATTATCGTCACTAGCTGTTGACCCCTATTTTGTTTTATTTTATACTTGCAAAATCAGTTTTTTAAATATTAATTATCAGTGATAATTATTAATTTATTACAGACTCACCAACACAACATTGTAATGAATCAAGTTAAAAAAAAACTAAGGGCGAAATAACCATGCAGGGAACAATTTTAAATTGTAAACTTTTACTCATAATATTAAAAGATTAACAAAAACAAAACAAACAATTCAATTAACCGAGACAAGACAATGTTACGCTGCGCTCATTAGACGCAGAAAGTAAGAACAACCTAATTTGATCATCTTTACTTGTTTCTGATGTAGTTTCTTTATATAACTAGCTGAAGTGGCTTAAAAATAGTGAAGAGATGTATCAAGTATCTTACATGCAAAATTCTACTATATACATATGTACATATGTATGTATTACATTAACATTTCAAAAATTCAAATTCGAAATCTTCTCAGTTCGTCACAGAAAACTCTTGAATGTAATACTATTGCATAACTTAAGCAAATTTTTAAAAATGTGAGCATGTCACGTATAGTGATAAAGACTAAACTCTTCTTCTATGCAAGTATTAGTATTTTTTCGCAATTCTATTTTAATTTTTTGATGCCCAAAAATTCACACATA